ATATATATTCACTATAAGTCCCCTCAGGTCACAGGTTCGATCCCACGTGGTGCTTTTGCAACCGAGTTCTCAAATAAAGACGTTTAATTGAGCTTCACTAAATCGTGTTACAAACCGCATTCGATTGCGACCGCAACACTCTGCCCGCGTTCCATGTTTGGCCTATATATATATATAAAATAAGAAAAAAAGTTTCAAACCGTCAAGAAAGGAGGAAGGAGGAAGTAAAGAAAAGCTTGTGTGCGTGTGGGAAGGTCAGCCAAGCCTTGCAAGTCGAGCCCTAGCCGAAGAGGCAACGACACCATGCTCACGTGCAGAGGAAGGAGAGGAAGAAAGAGGCGACGGTGGAGAGTGCTTGTGGTGTCAGGTTGAGCCGTGATCAAAGATAAAGGAAGAAGAAGAAGCCATAGGACGAAGCGTGCGGCTTCATTGTGCGTTCCAAGGAGTGGTAGACTATGCTTAGGAGAAAAATAAGGTTCGCGAGCCTCGTGTAAAAGAGGAAGGCACCCTGCTAAGCTTGCACATGGATTAGGCAGTCACTCGAATAAAAGTTAAAATTAGGTTTTTTTATTATAATTTAATTAAAAGTTGTATATATGTGTGTGTTTATTAATTAAGTATTAATAGTAGTTGTATTTAAATTCAGAATGTAATTGAGTGAAGGAGATACAGTTTCAACATCGACGGGGTGAATCACTTCAAAAAATAAGGTGTATTTTAACTAAAATTAAAGTTTAATTTGCTTAATTTAAAATGAATATTAATAAAATATTAATTTATAATAACAATTAAGGTTGAAAAGATTAACCTAGAAGATTTGGAGATAGCGAATTGGTGAAAAAAGCAAGCGAATGTGAGTAATTATTTTTGTATGAGTATTAAATTGAGATTTTACTAACCAATAATTATATTATTGCTTCTTATACCTGATATTATGATATGAGACATTGTGAATGAAAGAATTGCTAAAATGAATGAAGTGAAAATCAATAAGGGAAAATGGTGGTTTCAATAACCTTAAATGAAAGTATAAAAAGAAATGAAAAGTAAAAGTTTAAGTCATATAGGATTGCACCAAATGGTAATGATAGAGGATATAATGTGTCAGTGCACGATAAAGTAAATGATAAAGGTGTACCTTTGGGTGCAATATTTTTAAGATATGTACTAGTATAAGTTTAAGGATGTATTTGAATATAACGGTAATTCTAATATGACTCTTAAAGAGCTTAATAATGGTAAAAATTTAATCTAAAATGAGAATGGTTAAATTTAAAATGAAAATTTATATTTGAATAAGTAGGAATTACATTTCTTTTGGTCATGTATGCATAGCATTAGCATTATAAATTAATGCATATTAAGATTCAAATTGTTCACTATATCGTGAAAACTTACTATTGAATTTAATAATTTCTTTTAGGAAATGAAAAATCGTGTTGATATGTCCGGAAGGAGGGGCTTAATTTATAGGAGAACAAATGCCAATATGTATCAAGTTATATTGTGATTGTAGTTTATTTTTGCATTGTTTTCTTCAGAATAGTGATATACAGTTATATGCTAGTTTTGGATGTTGTCCACAAACTTTATTATTATTTTTGGAGGTTCTGATTTCTGTATGGAATACTTGTGATTTCTTAGTGACTCTTTTATATATTGGAAGTGTCTAGAAATCTATGAATAGTAAATTAAATGTTAATACCGTCCAACCATAGTTCCTGACTTGATTATTTCTAAACTATGAGGTTGGGTCGTGACAGAGAGAAAGCGGAGGGAGATTTTTTATCAAAAAGGGAATCAATAAGAAGAAAAAAAATTCTAGAACTTTTTCTTCGGCTACCTTAATTGGTTAAGGAAATGAATCTGAACTATTTTAAGAAACCATTTCAGCAACATCAATTGTTTCTACTTTGAAAAATGGGTAGTGAAGCAAACTACATTTTGAGTTTGTTCCAACATCCTTCATCTACAGTACACGTGTTGCATATATTTTTTTTAATTATAAACTGGATATTGATGGAAGAGTAAGTTGGAATAGCAAATAAATTCTTTGTAGAGTCTGACACAATGTTTCTTCTTTCCTAAATGCCATCAAAAAGTTCAGATTTAAAGGTTAAATATCAACAAAAAAAAGGGAAAACATAAATGAAAATTAAACAATGATTGCTACTTGTATATGAATTGGATGACATACCAACAAGATCCAGCCCATTGTGGCATAGTGTTCGTTTCTCTCCTAGCAGGCCTATGAGAAAAAGGATCCACGGTTTTTACCTGAACATGAGGGTGCAGTAATCGTACATATCTTATACTGGATTACAATCAGCATAGTATAAAATGGAACAAAAGAAAGAATTGCATTTTAATGGATGTCAAGTGTATAAGGGAAGTATCAAAAGCCATTTACACAAACCAATATGATCAATGAACAATATGCTTAAAGAGCAGATCCACACTCAATTTGACTATGGCTGATTTGAACTCATTAATAGAGCACCACAGTTAAAATGAAGCAGTTCACAAATAAAACAAGCATAACTAACTTTCAAGAACAAGTTCTTCTACTGCTCAACAAGTAGCTTTACGAGAGATCAATAAAACACACATTTACTGATTTCTACATAGCTTTAAATTTGTTCAGCTGCTAATGATTCATAAGAAACAAGCATAACTGCCGAAACTAGATCATTAGAACTTCTGCCATTTAAGCATTTACAAGCAATACAAGAAAAAATTAGTTTGAATCAGATATAGCTTCAAAAAAACATGGTGAAATTTATTTTAGATGATGCTTGTTATTTAAAGATTAAGTGGCTTTAGCTAAAGCTTAATTAAAGCCTATAATTCCATAAGCTTCCTAAAAAAATATACAAGTGAGCATAAGCTAAGCATTGCTTGGTTTGTATGAGCATATTTACACACCAAACAATTAAAGAAAGGTTGGAAATAAATGCTGATTTATCCTCCTTGCTGATTGTTTACCGCATGATAGTAGTTATTTACACGAGTGTCCACCTGTAAGAAAATGTCTCAAAAGTACATTATGATTGATCATCATTGCCATGATCATTATCAACACTTCTAGAAGAAAAATACATGGTGGTTTTTTGGTTTTCTTGAGGTGTTGGTTGTGGATTGAGGTGATGGTTTTTTGTAGTGGGTTGGAGTGGTGGCTGTGGGCTGTGGGTATGAGCATTTTATTTATGTAACTTTGTCTTTTTTAGCTTAGTAATAAAATGGCTAAGACCAAAGAGGTTGATACGCCTACATTGTGGGACAAAAAAACAAAAAAGATATTTTGTGACATTTACCTCAAGGAGATCGATTTGGGAATAGGCCTATTACATATTTCAACAAAGAAGGTTGGCAAAATATTATCAAAAAAATAAAATACAGGAAGAGAGTACGACAGATGCAATTGAAGAGCAAGTAGGTTCAACTAAGAAAGATTGAAAATTTTGGAAGACATTGAAAAAAGGATCAACGGGCTTAAAATGGGATCCGGTGAAACGAACCATTGATGCTTCCAAGTGGTGGATAGAAAGACTTGTCGTAAGCGTTTTTGACACGTCTCCTAGTTTGGTCAATTTCATTTTGTTTTTAAATTGAAGTGTAAGTTGTGAATTTGTAGGTGGTGCCCGCAGTAAATAAACTTAAGATTTGTGGTTTTGATCCTGAGTTGGAGAAGAAGTTATATCAAATGTTTGGAGGTGTCGTTACTACGGGCAACTGCGTAAATGCCCCGAATGAGACAGGTTTTGTGGCACCACCAAGAACTTGGGAGCCGACCGATCATGTGATTCAACCGAAGTCCCCAGCCCGGACCTCCAGGAACTTGAGTCCACCTCCCGTTCTAAGCGTCTGTGGGTTGAGAATAAAAAAAAGTTGGGGATGTTTTCCTTAGAAGACAGATATCACAGCTAGTTTCATCTTGCAACGTTGAACCCCACACACCTCAAGCAAATTCTAATGACTAGGTCCTACAAATTTTGAATGCAACTAGGAAAATTTTTAAGGATGAACCACTGTACATGCTTGAGATAGAGCTGCTTGAAGATCCAACTTGTAGAAATCTTTTCGTTAAGATGTCTGATAACCATAAGGTGACATATCTAGAACGCTTTTATGAGTGCATGAACATTTGAGAGACTTTTATTTACAATCGCTTGGGACATTTTTATTTATTTATTGTTTTTCATTTTTCTTTGTATTTTTTAACTGCTTGGGACATGGTTTATTCGGGGATGCTTAAATGTTTATTGTGTTTTTCATAATCTTATATGATTTTGGCAAATTCATTGATGTTTCTGTGTTAGCCAGTACGATACTGATCTACATGGATGTAACCAGAGAAAGACGCGGAATGAGAACTGCAACTGTTGTAAGCTTGATGTGTGAATATTATAACTCATACATAGATCACTCCCCCTACATGACATGTTCATATGTTGGGGGCAAATAGGTTGGGGAACTTGTGGACCGTCTAACAAGATTTAGCAATATATTCCGCATGACATCTTCATATATTCCGCATGACAAAGATCTGTTGGAGAGACTACACAAAAACCATGAACTTCATGGCTCTTCCATGACTTCCAGAGAAGTTTTGGCGATAATCCTCTTCATATTATCCAAAAATGAATTAATACAAGGAGCAATATAGCGATTTTTCCAAAATAATTTGCAGGTACTTCTCAATGGGGTTGAGGGCACTTGTGAGCTTTTCTTCACAAGTCATAAAACCAACAGATCATACGTTCAAACGGATCCCCACAGATATTTTACACGATGCATGGTATATGTCATTCTTTAAGTAAATCTCTTAAATTTATTACATTCAATTTTGAAAAAACGTTTTTTTACAAAATCAATGTTATTTTACAGGATTGTATTGAGGCAATTGATAGAACACAGATTGACGCACGTGTTCCAAATAATGAGAAGGTTGTATTTATCATCTATTATGGGTTCCCGACACAAAATATCATGGTTGTATGCAACTTCAACATAATATTCACTTTTGTTATAACCGGTTGAGACAACAGTGCATATGACAGTCAAATTTTCAAAATTGTGACGCGAAATATCACTTACAACTTCCCACATCCTCCTGCATGTAACCTTGAGACTCAGCTAATGTCATAATTAACTTTTAGCTTAATAATAATTATGAAATTCAAATCTAGTAAATATTCTTTGGTTGATATTGGATATCCATTCCAACGAGGGTATCTCAAGCCCTTTCCTGATACGAGATATCACATACCGGACTTTAAGCGAGCAAGCAATATAACTAAAGAAAGAAAAAGAAATATTTAATAAAAGATATTCCTCCTTATGCGATGTCAATGAGAAAACTTTTGGTGTTTAGAAGAAAAAATTGGTTATACTCCGCGATACCTCATCCAACCCATTTCACAAATAGGTGCAGATTGTGATTCTCAAGATGACTCTCCACAAGTACATTTGGCAGCATCATTCCTGCAACGACATCGACTTTCGTAAGAAGGACGAGGATCATGAGTCTATACCTGCAAAGGCATTTGAGTGTCGTCTTAGACATTCTTTGTCACAGCTTGAGAATAATGCTTCCACCAGTGCTAAAAATTGGGAAGGTGTTTGTGAGATGACAATGTTGAAAGAAAAAATTACGGATGTGATAGTAGAAGGGTGATTAGAGTATTTCTTCTACTAGTTGTACTTTATTTCTTTTATTCAAAATCATTTATACTTTACATTTTATATTTATTGCTTGAATTTTTTACGGTATTTGTAAGTGTTTTTTTTTTTCCATTTGCATTTCACTGGTTCTTCTTTCGGTGGGTTTAAGAGGTCAATGATGAGACATTTTACCTTAAGAGTTTTTTTAGATGAGTTGTTAGTCACTATTAGTCAGTGTCACATCTGAAATCATAAGAAAAGCAATAACATTCCTCTCTTTTTTTCGGTGATATGGTTTTTAAAGACTTCTAGATAGCATTTTTTTGTGATATGCATATGTGACACACACAAGTTTGGTTTTACATTGGTTAAAGTCTACCAAGAACCTTTTTTTACAAAGTCTGCTGTCTTATTGTAGTGTCAGATTTGTTAGTTGGTATATTAATTTCTTCTTTAGCAATTTCAGCTTTTTTTATGACTAATAGATTGTCTTTTATAGTATTTAGGAAATATGAGCTCCATGATTTTAAGAACCTCCCGATGTTTGCTTTTTCACTGCGGATTTCATACTTCCCTACTTACGTCACGTCAGGCGCATAGCTGCGGGAGACAGTTTTATAGGAGCCTGCAGAAAAATCACTTAAGTGTAACTTCTTCTGGTGGGCAGACAGTCTGACAGATTCCACTGCTGACAATGATCGGTAATGGATAGCATCTCTGAAGGCCGCGTAGCTCGTAACATACGTCGGCTGAATTTTAAAATCAATATTATCATTCTACTAATTATAATTTTAATAGTTCTTTTCTTTTTTTATAAATCTTGATATTCACTATTAAACGAGGCATAAAGCTTATTTTTTGTACTGTTATGATGTAGATTTTTACTTCTAAAGTGTCAAATATATGGTTATGACAGTTCTGTTACAAATAACATTACTACACATGGGCAGAATAGTCATTTGTCTAGAAACAGTTGTCGCACAGCTTTATTCAAACCACAAAAAACAAATAGTCCACAACTTTCTGGGGCAACTGTTGCGTAGCAACTTATTGATAAGCTGCAGCTGCCCCAAACAAACCATAAATTAAATGAGTCAAAGCTTAAACAAATATTATGACATTTCTAACATCATGGGCACTAAACATAAAAAAATAGAAGTGAAACAAATAAATTTAAGTATGAAATGGACAAGCATAGTATATAAATCATTTAAGAATTGTAATTATTTCCAGCAAAAGGTTATATTTAATGCTTTGAAAATTTTTTTTTTTATTTAGTTAACTATCCAAATATATTTTGTTCAATTTTGCTGCTACACTAAACTAATAAAAACTATAAATATGAATGCTCGTGTTAGTCACACATCAACCTACATATTGTTGATCTTATTAAGTATTGAGCTCATCGCATATTACAAGTGTAATTTCAAGAAAGATAAAAAAGATAATAGATCAGGACACAAATTATTAATTTTGTTAGTACAACATTTTGATTGTATAATTTTGGATGTTTTATAAAGAAAGTTCTACCAATTGCAAATTAAAATTTTTATTGAAAATGAATATTTATTTAATGTTTATTTCCGAGCTCTGTAATATATTTTATTGATTAT